AATTCCCCAGCCAGCCTGGCTGGGGAATTCTGGGAGTTGAAGTCCACTCATCTTAAAGTGGCCAAGTTTGGACAACACTCGACTAGAGGCATGAGAGATCCACCCCTGTGCAATTGACTTAAGGCAGACTTAATAAAGAGATGGCAACAAAGTTAACTTGCTGATGGGGCAGAATCCCAACCATATCCACCGCTCATTAACAAGAGACTATTTCCAGCATCCTTGCCACCTCTAAAAACAGTTTTTTCCTTAACAATAAAACAGCTCTCCTTACAGTACACAATCAGACTTTCCCTAAATGGCTCCAAGAGCCTGGCAGCAAATCAGAGCTCTAGAATTTCCTGCCCCATAATTCAAAATTCTTGTAAAAGATCTTCCTTTTTACTGTTCTCCATTCTTCATCCTTTACATGCTGGAATCCAACATTCACTGTTTCAATACAGTGTGATCTACTTGCACTCCATCTTTCAGATCCGTGACAGTGGAAAACACATTTTTGTATGCGTGTAAGAAGCATAGCCTTAGATTCCTGCACTTTCTCTATTTGTGTTTGGATTTTTTGATCCAGTTGTTTTGATTAGTCATTATAATGTTCCATTGCCTTTCCAATATTCCTGCGTCTGAATATTTCTCATTGTTAGAAGAACGAAGCAAGTTGATTCATAAAGCAGTTCTTGTGCTAGTAAGAATATTCCAGCAATAACATTTCCAATCCAGGACAGATCTCTTTCATCAACTTAAATAACAACAGCTTTAGGAATGGCTTTCCAAAGAAAACACTTGCCATTGGGTATTTAAATGTATAATAAATATAAAAGATATTTGTAACGTTCAGAAAGACTGCATAATATTTATTTCATTCTTGGAACTGTAGTGAAAATAGCCTGATTCTGTTTTATATTAAATATCATTTCACCAGTAGTCTTTTTCAGGAGAGTGGATGGGGGGGGGAAAGGCTACCAATTTTCTGTACTTCCCATTGTGAGCAGCAGGGGGCAAGCAAGAATGGAGTTTGGGGGCTAGAATCTTTTCCTAGGCCAATATACCCTGCACTCCATTGAATCATTTGCTTGGTGCAGCACCAGTTTTCTTACTTCAAAATTTATTTTCTGTAAGAATTCATTTGCATCA